CCGGCGGCTGATGGTGGTGGCTGGCCCAAGAGCTTGTGGCCATTCTACACGGGGAGGCGACATAAACACTCCCTGCCGGTCACGGCCATTACACTGAGACACAAAATGAAGTAAAAGACAGTTATTTTCTTGATGCAACATGACTCTACAGTTAAAAGGAGGCGTCATTTACCTTTGGGGGAGGGCGAGCCAGCTTGAAGGCGTGTTCGATGGCGTTCAGTGCAACATAATTGGGATCGGCCAGTTGAACAGCTCTCCAATCCCGGCCTTGATTTCCACCTTGTCGGAGCGGCTCCTTCCTGGTCCTCGTCGGATCAGCGCCTCCTTGGTACTCGAAGCCGGGGTGAATCCTTTTCTGGCAGGGCTGGATTCTTCGGCTGATGAAGTTGCCGACAACGCTCGGGCCATCAAGCCTTCCCCACGGGATCATCCCGAGCAGTTCGGCGATCTGCTCCAAGTTCTCAAGCTTCCGACCACCGCTTTTCTTCTCGGAATCACCCCACATCGCACAGAGTGATGGTGTTCGGCTCTTCACGGATGTAGAACCATTTCTTGTACCACTCGTCCAAGGAGGTGTTCGAGGGCAAGGCAGGTATTGAGCCTTCATGCGCCACGAGAGTTCGTGTAAACGCCACCGGCGATCTCGAGCCACCGCTCCCTTTCTTCCAAGATGAATAGGTGGCGAAAGAGGTCGAAATAAATGGAAGCCACCATAAGCCTCGCGAGAGATGGATGAAGGTGGAGACAAGAAGAATCGAGTTGGGATGCGATTGCAAATCCCAATCTCGTAGTACAAGCAGAGACCACGAAGGAAAGGGTGCACTGGAATCCCAAAACCCCGTTTGAAGAAATCTTCAAAGACCACAATCTCACCTGGTTGTGGATCGGGGAAGCTTTCTCCTACCGGTGCACGCCATCCCACAAGTGCCTTGTTGTGGAGCACTCCCATGGCGACGAGGTCCTCGATGGTCCGCTTTCGTTGCTCCGCGATTTCCACCATTCCTTCGCCATGACCCTGCTTTTCTTCTGGGCGTCTCTCTTCGCCATTAGTTCGCGCTTACTAAGTGGGTGGATGCAGGAGACCGAGGGGATTGGTGATGATTTTTGGGGCAATAGGGTTCGGCAGGAGGAAGAAGAAGGTTGCGGCGGCGGATGACAATGGGGAAGCGGTATGAGTAGCTTACGGATCGCATATATATAAAACAACGAGCACCGCTCGTTTCGTCCGCCGAGAATATTGGGAGTCGTATGACGCGCGCCGCAGGTGGTTGTTCACACAACCTCGAAATCTGCGCCAATAAACGCGCTCCTTTATTAACAGTGTACGCGCCTCCTCGTTGATGGTGTAAGGAGGCCCACACTGACACACCTCAATACAGGTGTCAACCGACTGTTTGCAAAAAAAAAAAAGAAGAAGACAGAATGACGTACTGTACCTATTGACTTTTTTGACGGGACGTCGATCGGGTCTTGGCAGAGAATAGAGAAAAGTACACAAAATAATAGTACAAGCAGCGCAAGTGATCGTGGATTTGTTTTGACCACTACTGTGCTTGGATACTGCCCAGACCACTTTTGTGCTCGGGGATCGCTCCGACCACGGCCGTGCTCGGGACCCGCCCACCACCGCTTGAATAATGGTTCTCCTTGGCTACATGTGATTTGTACTCACATACAGTTAAGAGACTTTTCTTTTAGACCTTGCTACAAGGCTCATACTTTGCTTTCCAGCAAGCTCGGGGACTACATCGGTACGATGCACCCGCCGGTGCATCTTGTATCGCCTGTACGGCAATTGGATTCTCAACCTCAGCGGAATTTCTTTTTTAGACCCTGGCACCACGTGCCTGCGTCACCTACTACCAGGCTCGGGGACTAAGTGGGCACACTTCACCTTGCGGTGAATGTGTTTGATTAAATTGACCCTTGTGTTTTGAATGGTTATGAGGATTATTAGTATGCTCGGGGACTGCCCCGACCACTGCTTGAATAATGGTTCTCCTTGGCTACATGTGATTTGTACTCACATACAGTTAAGAGACTTTTCTTTTAGACCTTGCTACAAGGCTCATACTTTGCCTTCCAGCAAGCTCGGGGACTAAGTGGGCACACTTCACCTTGCGGTGAATGTGTTTATTTTTCGACCCCTACTCTTCTGATGTTTAAGGATGCTATGCTTCAAGACCACTTACATTTCTTTTCAGAAATACAAGTGGGCACACTTCTCAGGACATAAATCTTTTTCTTTTTTCTTAAGAGCACCATACATTCTTCGGACAACCTACTTCTCCGGTGATGACGGTGGTCGGAGGCGTCAAGAATTCAAGCCTTGCTTGTCGGAGAAGGTTAAAATGGCGTGTCGCATGACATAATACATGATGCTCGGGGACTAGCTGTGGGGTATTAACCCCTATACCCTTCTGGCTAAGCTTGGGTTGGCTCGATCGATAGGTTCATCCACCGAAAGATGACGTCTTGCCCGATTAACTTTGATCGAGTCCCGCACAAGGAATCAAGACAGATTTGGCGACCAAGCAGGATCTGGTCGATTAGAATAGGAATCCTTATCCCGCCACATATGGCAATTGTAATCGACTAGGATTAGTTTCAGATCGTAACCCGCGCCCCGGACTATATAAGGCGGGCGGGGACCCCTCTAAAATCATCTCTCATTGACATACAAAGAATACAAATCGACGCAGGACGTAGGTATTACGCCTTCTTGGCGGCGAACACCGGATAAAACCTCGTGGTTCTGTCTTGCGTCGCCGTCTTGTTTGGGACTTGCGCACCTGTCTGCCGATAATCTACTACCTTGGGCATACCCCTAGGTAGACTGCCGACCATATTTCGTCGACAGCGTGGGCACAACACGGCGAGCGGGCGGCCGTCTCGGGGCACGGCATGCAGCGAGCGCGTGACGCCGCCGCAGAGGGCTACACGGCGAGCGGCTACCGTCGCGGACACGGCGAGCGGCGGGCGTCGTGGACATGGGATGCGGCGAGCGTTCACGGCTGGTGCGAAGGTCGGCACGGCGAGTGGAGCTGCCAGCGCGGGGACTTGGACGCCGCTTGGGCGACGTTAAAGCTAAGCCTGCGCTAGTACTTGCCCACGCGGCATTGTCGCCTGCTGTCCGACAAGGCGCACGCGGAGGTTGGAGCTTTCGAGTCTTCAATCCAGTTGTGCGGCCGTGCGGGGGCGTTCGCGTGAAAGAAGCAACAAGTCACATGCCTTGAATTGATCTCCCTCGTTGGATCTTGATTGGACGATGGATAGCATAGGGAAAGTTACAACGTGACTTTACAAAGGAAAGTCACTGAATCTGCATCCCCCGTCGACAAGCAAAAACCAATGGGCATCTAGGGGGATCAACGTTTCCAAACTCAAGATAACGAAATCGACCGAAAATAATTTGGCTTTTGGCGACAGCTTAGAGCAACTTTTTAAGACTAGAGTTAAATCGTTCTGTAAAGACTAGTTATTATTAGGCCAAAAATATCTTCAACAGAATGTGTGTCTCTTTCGATTGAGTGGTTTCCCGGCTAGGAAAACCTCAATCACTAAAGTTGGAATCACAACCTCACTCGCTATCTGTCCTCTTTCTCATGCTTGGCGGCCTCTTCTTGTGCGGATACTCTTTTTCCGCGCTTTTGTTATCCCTCACGTGCCAACGAAGTCCTTCGGGTTGGCCAAGATGCGTTGTCGACGTCTTCACAAACCAAACCAGGACGGAGCAAAAACTAGAAGTACCTAACATTCATGAGGAATGGGGAGCCGTGGCTTCATGCTCACCATCCCCGTTGATGTGCGTGAGGATAGAACACACGCTTATAGAATGCGTTGATCTCCGCATGTGGCTTTGTTGTGCATGAGCGGAGGGGATGTTAAACCGGCCAACCACCATCCTCGTTCTTGTGTGGCATCCATGTCTGAGTCAAAGAGGAAGCTGGGAGGACGCACTTGGATCCATCTATTCCCGCGGTTGCAGCGATAGGTCGTTGCAACGGAAGACTCAAGGAGGGGGCAGGAGGAGGTGGGCATGGGAGGCAGAAAATTTGAGGACACAACAAGCGAGACTAGGGATAAGAATTGGGGATGGAGGAAGGAGCTGAGCATGGGACGCATCTATTCCTACTGCGTGTCTTGTGAGCTATCCTCACCTCACGTCTTGTCCCAATTATTAGTGACTTAGCGTGTGTAACTCTCTCTCAAGACATTAGCTATATGTTGACTTAATTTAAATAAGTAAACTATGTGTGCTCCTATATACTGACTTACTTAAATTCTCAACATACACTTTCGATTTTGTAACTAAATCGATATGAAGCGTGTAAATATAGACAATTAAAATTATATTAGTCTCTATTATATTCACATTATTGTATTTTTTTAAATCCTCCTCCACATGCCATCCCAAAATTCCTACGGCAATGTGAGGCAGGGTATGTTTTCGAATGTTTCTAGTAGAACTGGATAACATACCACGGTACTCCTTTCGTCCTTAAAAAAATATTATTATTTATTCATGAAAATCAAATATTCTTAATTTTAATATAATATATATAAAAAATATTAAAATTTATGATACATAATTAATATTACTAGATAGACCCTGAATAGGTTTCATGATTTTTTTTCCCGCAAAGACATGAGTTCATAGCGACCATGGAGGAGGGAGTATATGGGCCTAAAGGGTTCCGTAGTCCAAAACATCAGTCAGATTTTGACTTTTCCGCAACGTTTGCGTTTCACCGAGAGCCACAAGCCCGCAACCGCAAGCAACAGATCCGCGCCCGCTCAGCCGCTTTCCTCCCCACCCCCAGTGGGCGACGACTGGCGCCCATCGTCGATTCCCCGGTCTCCGTTTCCGTCTCGCGTGTTTGGTGCTTTCGATCTCCCCAAGGCGGCAGCTGGCAGCGCTGTACGCGCCGCGGGAAGATTTTGGTTGGTGGATTGTTGGTGGCGGCTCCACTCCGTCCCACTGCACTGGTCCAATCCAAATGGCGGCCAATAATAGTGACCCGATCCAGGATCAGCTGGGGGAAGGAGGGGCGGGCGTGAAGCACGAGGCGGAGGAGGAGGTGGGGGAGGAGACGTCTTCTTCCGCGGCGCAGGCGACCGCGACGACGATGCTGCCCCGGTCGAGCTCGCGGCCGCAGCTGGACCTCAGCGGCGCGGCGATCCACGGGACGCTGGAGGACCGCAACCCTACCATCCTGTTGCCCAACCAATCCGACGACATCTCCCACCTCGCCCTTGACATCGGCGGTACGTGCGTGCCCCGTGCGCGTCTCCCCGCCTCCGCTTCACTGTTGGACTCAACAGTGTTTATCGCTTGGTAGCTGTGTAAGCTTCTGTGTCGAGTTGGTTAATCAAAGTAGATGAGATGCGGGATACTTAGCAATTTAGCATGTGACTGTGGAAACCCAACTGTGGTCGAATTTTCAGAAGTTGGCACTTCCGCCTGCTAGTCCCACAGTGATCCAGGGACTAAATTTCAGTCCTGTCACATCGGACGTTTGGATGCTAATTAGGAGGAATAAACATGAGCTAATTATAAAACTAATTGCACAGATGGAGACTAATTTGTGAGACGAATCTATCAAGCCTAATTAATCCATCGTTAGCCCACGTTTACTGTAGCACCACATTGTCAAATCATGTGCTAATTGGACTTAATAAATTCGTCTCGCAAATTAGTCTCAATATGTGCAATTAATTTTGTAATTACTCTATATTTAATACTCCAAATTAGTGTCCAAACATCCAATGTGATAGAGACTAAAGTTTAGTTCCTGAAACCAAACACCCGAACATTTCCAGATTGCTACTGCATCTCAGGACGACTGTGTGAACCATTTAAGAGTGTATCTGCGGATTGATAGTGGTGATAAAATGCTACTTGCAACAGTAAGCCATCAAGGTGGGACTGTGCATATGCTTCCAACTCTTGTTGTTCCTCCTGAACTGTTAGGATGTGCTTGATGGATTAAAAGGCGCCAGTTTTCTATAACTGGTTCAGAGTTTTATTTTTCATTGTCAACCTGCAATTGCCAACAATAATTTCTTCACTGTAGAAGGGTCGGACATTTTGTACTCTGAAGTTTGAAATGTATGTTTTCCCTCTAGGTTCTCTTATAAAACTGGTATACTTCTCGCGACATGCTGAGCTCTCCACTGAAGATAAGCGCAAGATATCCACAAAGAGAAGACTTGGGATGTTTAATGGTGGCAGGAGAAGCTACCTGATTCTTGGAGGGAGGCTCCACTTTGTCAAGTTCGAGACTGGGAAGCTAAATGAATGTTTGGATTTCATTTCTTCCAAACAACTACATCGTGGTGGTATGCAAACACTGGTGTTAGTTATAAACAATTGGAATGTTGTATCATCTTCCTAGTTATTTCCATCACCTTGTTGACATAGTTTCCTGTGGTTCTTCGATTGCTTCTGTTACCTTTGAATCATGGTTCACCTGTATTTTCTTAGCATTGAATAGCAGTTATATGCTGCAGGAATTGATTCACCTTCGTGGCGCTCAGGAGCTCAGCCTGATGACATTGTAATTAAGGTAAAAACTAAAGAGACAACATGATTGATATGTCTGAAGACTCTATATAAGTATAAGTAAATGTTTGGATTCAGGGCACCTCAATAGTCCTTTAATAAGAAAAAAGAACAACAAAGAGAAAAAGGGGAAAGGCCTAGAGATCCTCTCATCCATTGAAAGGAAAAGAGAAAGATGCTGAATTAATAGTCTTTACAGAAGTCATTTTTTGTGATGAGTATCTGTTTATTGCTGCATTAATAATTCTTCCATTACATACTTTATTTTTGTAAGCACAGATTAGTTCTCTTTATTTGGATTTATGGCCTTAGGATTATTTTGTTTCTGAGTGTAATATTTTGTGGAAAGGCAACAGGTGGTGGCGCATACAAGTATGCAGATGTCTTCAAGGAAAGATTGGGAGTCAGCCTTGAAAAGGAAGATGAAATGGACTGTCTTGTGGCTGGAGCAAACTTTTTGCTTAAGGTTCCAATTTATTTAGTCCATATTCTACTGTGCATCTATCTTGTATGTGATGTTTATAGTGGATTGTTGGAGATGTATTAAACTAATAATGTTAGTAATAAGTGTGTTAACATTCATGAATCTAAATTACAAACTACCGTCAAGTAAATAACACTCTTTTTCTGCACTTGGCAGGCTATACGTCATGAAGCTTTTACACACATGGATGGCCAGAAGCAATATGTTCAGATTGATCGGAATGACCTGTTTCCCTTCCTTCTTGTTAATGTTGGATCTGGTGTTAGTATAATCAAGGTAACTTTGAGGTTAGATTTCTAGTTTGTTGTTCTTTTGAGTGTCACCAGATCTTGTTGACCATTCTTTTTCAAAGGTTGACGGGCATGGGCAATTTCAGCGAGTAAGTGGGACAAATGTTGGTGGTGGTACTTACTGGGGATTGGGGAGGCTAATGACAAAGTGCAAGAGGTGCTATTTTTCTGCCCAAGGACACCAGATATTTCTGTATGCAATTTGATTTCTCCTAAACTCAGTAATTTTGTTTCAGTTTTGATGAGTTGCTAGAGTTGAGCCAGCGTGGAGACAACAGCACCATGGACATGCTTGTAGGAGACATATATGGTGGTCTGGACTACTCCAAGGTTACTATTAGCATAAAATGTGTAAATAATTGTAAAACATGTTGATATTCCCCATAAGTTATTGTATGCACTACTTAAAGCTGCTAGTCTGACTCTGACCCGTTATTAGGATAACATTCAGTGTGCAGTGTGCACTGTATGTTAGAAAAAGTGTTATTAAACTTCTTGTCTTATGTGGGTATTAATTATGCATGCTTCTGCTATATGGCAGATTGGCCTTTCAGCATCTACAATCGCCTCTAGTTTTGGAAAGACAATTTCAGAAAACAAAGAGCTATCAGATTATAGACCTGAGGATATATCGCTCTCTCTGTTACGGATGATTTCATACAACATTGGCCAGGTATGTCAACCTTGTGAGGACATGATATGGTAAATAAATGGTGAATGACTAGTGAGATAAGTGTCCAAGACAAATGGTTTAGTACTCGCATCACACCTTTTCTCTAGATACACACACTTGACAATTTTTAATTTTTTTTTTGAAAATGTGAACAAGTAAATGAAACAGTGAATGAAGTTTATCTAAACGTGGAGCTTTTTTGTGTGCTTAATTTATCCAGGGATCTAGCCTAGCTTTGAGTGGTTGTGTTCTTTTCTGAAGAAAAGACAATAAAATAAGTGATATTTCAACATTTTTTATGCTATATATTGACTTTTCTCATAATCTGAAAGTGATAGAGTTGAAAATTAATGAAACCAAGAGCGAGCAATGCCAAAGATGATACTAGATGACAGTGCTAAACAGTGTATTGAAATTGGTTCTTTGGTGGGTGAAGGTCTAATATAACTTTTAATGGTGCTCATAGCAATAAGTAAACTCACATATTTTTTATGCTTGATGCTGCATGCTAAGTTGCTAAAATACAAATTGTAGTGTTTGGTCATTTCATTCATTTACCATGCCCTGGATTTTGAATTTATTTATTTTTGAAAGTAAAGGCAGGAGCTCTGCCGCTCAATTAAGAAGGAAATAGAGTTTTATGTACAGGCACCAATGGTGCCAAGAAACCTGGTCATAGGACCAACTCAAACACCGACCATAGAGCCGACACACAGAAGCCACCGCTCATGCGCTTGTTGATTTAGCCCGCACTACACATGGCCCTACGTCTCTGAACAATATCTTCCTTGGCCAGATAGGCGACCTGTTCCGATGTTTTGTGCTCGTTTTCGAAAATTCTCCTATTCCTTTCCTTCCACAGGTTCCACACAACATAAATGAGCACTCCATTAAATGTTCGGCGTTCTTGCTTTGGCACCTTGCTCGCCACCTCCTCCCACCAGGCCAGGCACTGGGGATCTTGTTGGGGCAGTTGCACATCAAAGTTTTCCCAAGATAACACCTGGCTCTAGACAGCTTTAGCGAAGGGGCATAGCAAAGATAGATGCAGTGCTGTTTCCAAAGGTCCATTGCACAAGACGCAATGCTCATGATGTGGCCACCCTCTCTTTTGCAAGTTATCCGCCGTGAGGATTTTGTCGTGCATTAGTAACCAGGCATGTATCTTGCATTTATTTTCCGCCCTTGCTTTCCAAATGAGATCAGCTTGGAACTTGCAGCGTGAACCTTGGAACTGTATGTTATATGCCGAACGTGTGGAGTAGTTTCCATCAGCCGTCCATCTCCACACTATGGAGTCCTGCACCTCGGGCGTGAGCTGCACTTCCTGAATCCTAAACCAGAGGGCGACGAATTCTTGTATCTGAACGGATGTTGTGATTCGCGTCCTGAGGGAGCGGATCCAATTACCATCTTGTAGTTCCTGGCAAACCGTCCTGTTCTTTCGGCTCACTAGCTGGAAAAGATGGGGCGCTAGGTATCTTGGAGCTTCACCGTCTAGCCAATTGTGATGCCAAAAACGTGCCTCGTTACTATTCCCAATTGTTATCGTTGTTGAGGCGTTGAAGAGCAAACGGTCTAGGTCATTGCATGGCAGTGTCGTCCCTACCCAAGGTTTTGAGTCATGAACCCACTCCTGCCACAACCAACGTAGGCGCAAGGCTCTTCCAAATGTTTGTCTCCCCCAACCCTCCCAAATCTTTTGGCATGCAGACTGTCGGCCAATTTACCAAGCAATGCCCTCCGTTGGCGTTCACATCACCTTTCCACAAGAATGATCTTCTGATTTTGTCAATTTGCTTTCTTGCCCATACCGCCAGAGGGAACACGGTGAGGTGATAGGTAGGCATCGAGGATAGCACTGAGGTGACCAAAGTAAGTCTGCCCGCTCTGTTGAGCATTCTACCTTTCCAACCAGGTAGCCTCTACCCTATGCGTTCAATGAGCGGTTGCACATGGACCTTCTGCAAGGATCTCGTATGTAGCTGTAGTCCCAAGTAGCGGCACGGGAAGGATTCTCTTGCCCCTACAAAGGAGGCTAACACATGGTCTAGATCGATGTCTTGGCATCTGATCGGGTGGACGGAACTCTTGTGCAGATTTATATGTAAGCATGAGACCCTACCAAATTCCTGGAGGGTCGTCGTGATGGAGTCCAAGTCGTCCTTGATCGGGTTAATGAAGATAGCCGCATCGTCAGCATACATGGAGGTCCTCCACCTGGCCGTAGATAGAGGAAGAGCAGAGAGGACGCCTTGCTGTGTTGCCATGTCTAGCAGGCGTTGAAGCGGGTCCATAGCGAGAATGAACAACATGGGCGATAGATGGTCGCCCTGTCGAACCCCTCTGTTGTGACTGAAAGCTGGGCCCTGCTGTCCATTTAGCAGCACTCTCGACGACATCGTGCGGAAAAGGATCGATACCCACTCCCGCCAGCGTGGTCCGAACCCTAAGGCGTGCAATACCTCCAGAAGGTAGCTCCAGCTGACCGTATCGAAGGCCTTGTGTATGTCAAGTTTCAGGAACAACGTGGGCAGCTTCATCTTTTGCATTGCCCGTACTGTGTTTTGAACATATAGGAAGTTGTCGTGGATGCTCCTCCTTTTGATGAATGTGCTTTGGCATTTCGAAACTAAGGAGTCCAGCAGCGGCGCCAACCTGTTTGCAAGTAGCTTGGCAAAAATCTTCGCTATGCTATGAATGAGACTGATTGGGCGAAAATCTGTAACTCGCAAGGCGTCCCTTTTCTTTGGGAGTAGGATGATGTTTGCCGTATTTAGGAGCTCAAAGCCTTGGGAGTTTAGCATGTACATGCTGTTCACCGCAACAGTAACATCGTCTTTGATGATGTCCCAGCAGTCTTTGAAGAAGGCGCCTTGTCGGGTGGTATCGACTTTATTGTCTCTTTGATCTCTTCTTGCGTGAACGGGGCCTCGAGAGCCGATAAATCCCTTGGGACATAACCGAGTGCCGACCAGCTGAACGTCACTGACCTCGGTGTATGTGAGCCTAGGTGTGCTGAAAAGTAATCCGCGATGATTTTTTCTTTGTCATTGTGTGTAGTCGCCACCCTCCCATCTGTGTGCAGACAATGGATATAATTCTTCCTTAATCTTGTGCTAGCCCGAATGTGGAAGAATTTTGTATTTACATCTCCGCTGCGGATGTATGTGAGCCTAGCCCGCTGTTTAATCCTTGACTTTTCAATGGCAGCTAAGCCGGTGCTTCTGATTTTTAGACACCGGCGCAGGTCGAGTTCCTGCTGTGTGTGTCCTAAATTCCTGCGCTGCCTCAAGCTGTAGCAGCACCTCTTTGACGATGGCCAGCTGCAACCGTGTGTCCCCTACCTTCTCCCTGCGCCACCGCTTAAGGCCTTTGGCCACTCGTGCTAATTTTGTGTGCAACCGTTTGATGGGTAAAGAAGAGTGCACAGGTTTACTCCAGACTTGTTCCACCAAGTCCCTGAAACCATCCATCTTGACCCAAAATTTTTCGAAGCGGAAGGTCCGGTTGTGGCAGTGCTCAAGTTCTCCCTGCAGGAGTAGCGGGGTGTGATCGGACATGAGAGAAGGCAAAGAGTGGAGAAAGCATGTCGGGAAGGTTAATTCCCAATCAGGGGTGCAAAATAATCTGTCGATTCTTGTTAATGTCGGATTGTCTTGCTCGTTGCTCCAAGTGAAATGACGTCCGTTGAGGCCTATCTCTTTTAGGTTCAGGTCGTCGATGACCGCTTTGAAGGAGGCCATGAGGCGACGGTTTAGATTGGAGTTGTTTTTGTCTTCTGCCTGGTAGATGAGATTAAAATCTCCTAGGATGAGCCATCTCCCATGGGCCGGGCAAGGAATAGCTGCAAGCTCCTGTAGAAATTGTAATTTCTCGGCGTCTCCCTGCGGGCCATAAACAACTGTAATTTGCCATTTGGTTCCATCTGCCCTCACGGTGACTGTTGCAGTCACTGCATGTGTAGATAAATGTTGGTCGGAGAGCTGGAAGTAATCCTCATTGACCGCAATAAGAATGCCGCCTCGTGTCTGAGTGGCTGGTAGTACCACAAAAGTGTTGGCGAACTTAGCCCCAACAGTATGTCTGACAACACCTTGATCCAAATTTTGCATCTTCGTCTCCTGCAAACACACAATGGTGGAGGCTGTCTCTAACTAGCAAGCTCACTGTATCTTGCCTCACCACATCATTGAGGCCGTTCACGTTCCAGCACAGGATGTTGCAATTACGTTGTGTCATTGAAAACAAGATTTACCCCAAATAACAGCCTGTGCAGAAACTGCAAGGGAAGAACAGACACATTGAAGCGAGTAAACTGGCTGCAGCCGATCACAGTAGTATTTCCAAACCGAAGCTTACAACAGGTAGCTAGCAGCGCTGATGGCAGTAGCTTTGTTGCAGACATAGTAGAATAACAACTGAAGATGACATGGTGACCCTGAAGGAGTGGAGAGCGCTTTGGTGATTTTTGGCCCCTGGCCGTCACCACTGCATCCTTCACAGCCGATACATAACTGGAGACGACGACACACCTACTGAACTGAAGATACAAATGGTTGGAGCTTGACATGAGTTACATAATGTAGCCCTTGCACCGAACTATGAAGCCTAAGCCTGGGAGCAGCCTGCCCCAGAGTCGTCGCCGAGGCCACAAAGGGCAGTCAATGCCTGGATCACCGTCCCTGAAAGTGGACCGCCGAACAGCTTGAAGTAGCCCAGCAGCGCGTCGTCCAGCGAACGGTCCTCCTCCATGAAGCCAAGTTTTTTCATCAGAACTTGGCGCGCCTTCGCTTTATGATTGGCGCATAATTCCTTATCGGAAGAAGTACATTTGATTTTAAACTTCCAAAGTGCCATTGTTGTTGTTTTATCACTGAACACTCAGTCATCTGTATCAATTCACACTGATACAGGCACGTTTCACCTTTTCTGAAATATACCTAAGCTCTCTATTTTTTTTTTCTAGAAAATACACAGGAGAGCTGTGTTTCTTTGCACTAAGAAGAAAAGGTTCTCTAATTTATTGTGGTCTATTTTTCAACTCAATTGAAGCTGTGGGTCCTGTTTCTTCGGTTTTTTTTTTGTAGATTTCCTATCTAAATGCACTTCGGTATGGACTCAAGAGGATATTTTTTGGTGGATTCTTCATCCGTGGCCATGCCTACACCATGGATACAATTTCTTTTGCAGTGCATTTCTGGTAATTTTTTTTCCAAAATTAGCACCCCCCCTTCTTTATGGTTTGTTACGTTATTTATATTAATTTTTGGAAAAAACGTTCTCCCATTTTCTTGCTTGGGACTAAAAGGCTTTGTTGTTGCTGTTGTTGTGTGTTGGTAAAGGTCAAAAGGAGAGGCACAAGCTATGTTTCTGCGCCATGAGGGCTTTCTAGGAGCTCTTGGTGCATTTATGAGTTATGAGAAGCATGGTCTCGATGACTTAAGGGTACATCATTTGGTTGAACGCTTCCCAATGGGTGCTCCATATGTTGGTGGAAAGATTCACGGGCCACCTCTTGGAGATCTCAATGAGAAGGCAAGGGCATCTTCCCTTGATCATGGTTAACTTTATGGCTATGATGGTTTGGTTATTTTTCTGAGTATGGCATCCTCTCTTAACACAAATCTGATGCTCGATAAAGTTACACCTTTGAAAACTCGAAATGGATGTCACTCAGTCAAACTACATGACAGGCATGCACAAGAACCAAAAGGGGCGACCCAAATTTCTATCTCTATTGAAAAGGCCCCTGGAATTAGTCGATATCTTTTTGCTACTATTTTATGCTGGAATGAGATAACATTTCCTTCTTATTCAACATCGTTTATTAAATCTAGTTCACTTTTGATCGCCAATATTATTTAAAAATGTTTCCATTTTGAACTGTACAGATATCATGGATGGAGAAGTTTGTGCAGAAGGGTACTCAGATTACTGCCCCTGTACCTATGGGAGTTCCAGCTACAACAGGTATGGGAGGCTTTGAAAGGCCGACTTCTAAGGGCGACATTTTGCGGTCAGATGCAAGTGCAGCACTAAATGTCGGTGTTCTCCATCTTGTACCCACATTGGATGTGTTTCCATTGTTAGAGGATCCAAAGACGTAAGACAAATGTTTAACTCTTGTGTCTACTCTCTAGTATGTGTGTGGAAGTTGGTGAAATTTCATATTATTGAAAATGAACTCTTCCTAGATAATTTAGTTCTATTTGTCAACCCAGAAAAGGACCAACTAAATACTAACTGTTGCAGTAAAATCAGTACAGAAAATGGAGCTCAACTTCCATTTCCTGAAAGGCTCTAGAAATTAGTGGTAAACAGTTTTTTCACATCAAATTACCAGTTAGTTAAGCTTTTCCTTGTAGCTATGATACCAAAAGTAATAAACAAGTTTCTGAATCTTTTTTCTCGAATGCAGAGTTTCAGCATATATGCAACCTTCAAAATCGTGATAACTGATCTGTTTTGTAGGTATGAACCAAACACAATTGATCTTGACCAGGATGAGTTCAAGTATTCTTCTATTTCTCTTACCTATAGATATATAATAGAGTCCTTTGACGATATCTGAGATCATCGTGCTAGGTACTGGTTCAAGATTTTGTCAGATCATTTGCCGGACCTCGTGGACAAGGTATGATGTTGCTCTTGCAAAGACATCTGCATAGTTCCTCTTTTCTTTATTCATGACATGATGTTAAAAAAAGGTTTCCAAATGTCGTTCTCACTCACAAACTCCAATCATCAAGCCATCCGAGACTCTGTGTTTCCAGTACTCGCCAACTTAATCAGATGTATCTCCCTCAGTTTCCGAATCCGTCTATTGAATGGCATCTCTGGAACAGTCGGCATGAGGTGTTCTGTAACCCCAGAAGGCTAGAACCACACCTCACCTCATATGGAGCAGAAATTGTTTCACCCTTGATCTTATGTTATCCAAATACATTTTCTTAAAAAACTTGCTTCTTTATTGTTGGGTCCTTACAAGTAAGTATATCAGGCTGTGAACTTCCTACTATTAGTTCACAACATTTGACACACACCACCTTTATTGGTTTCCACATAAGCAGGTATGCACCTGCCACAAATGTTTGCCAAAAGGAACAGAGACTCCCTTGTTAAGGGACTAGTTGCTGTTTCCATACCTCAGTGAGCTTAGCTCCTTGACTGTAATGAAGGCGATATTTCCACTTCACTATCACCACAATCAAGTTTACATCGAGATTGCATATTTTGGGCTGAGATAGTACACATATGGTTTTTCATTTTGTAGTAACAATTTGTGAATTGAGGATATTTACCTGAATATCCATTTCTTTTCTGTTTGGGAGTAAATGGAATCCTGAAACAGTATATTCTTGGCTAACTTGTGCATTCTATCATTTGTAGGCAGTTGCTAGTGAAGGTGGGACTGATGATGCCAAAAGGCGGGGAGATGCATTTGCGCATGCCTTTTCTGCTCATCTGGCAAGGTAAAAAATTGCTATTGCATGTCAATATTGCTCTCTCTCTTTGCTACCTAACTTGTGTCAGGTTAGATTGATGGAGGAGCCAGCTGCTTATGGAAAGTTTGGTTTGGCCAACCTGTTGGAGTTGAGGGAAGAATGTCTGAGAGAATTTCAGTTTGTTGATGCATATATTAGCATCAAGCAAAGGTTGGCTTCCTATATGTGCGCATGCATGCACACATGCTCTCATTTGTGTAACTTTCTGGTATCTTCTGCTTGAAGGGAAAATAAAGCTTCACTGGCTGTTTTACCAGATCTTCTGATGGAACTTGATAGTATGAATGAGGTATATGACAGGGGCTTCTTTCTGCTTAATTCTGCACTTAACTGAAGTCATCTTAACATTTGCTTCTGTGATAGCTCAAGTTATCTCCTTGCGATTATGCCAGTTTTCTATTGGCAGCATGTGGATGAGAAAACATGAGAAATTTTGGTTCATGCCACGATCATAAGTCCACGTTTAACAAAATACCACTAAATGTGTTTCTGGCAAAAGCAAAACATTCCAATGTCACTGTTAGGGGTATTTTGTCATTGTTGTTATTTTTCTTTTCCCTCTGTAGCGAAGCTTCAACTCTAGATATTCATCTGAGTGTACATTTCATGGATATCCAGGAAGCTAGGCTGCTTGCTCTAATTGAAGGTGTCCTTGCTGCAAATATATTTGATTGGGGATCTCGAGCTTGTGTAGACCTTTATCACAAGGGAACTATAATAGAAATCTATCGCATGAGTCGCAAGAAGATGCAACGTCCTTGGCGGGCAAGTATTCCAAGTCTGAACTTTTTAAATGTTACAGTTGCATTGCGACCTCTGAGAGTTATAAAAAAAAAAGAGTTGTGCTGTCACAAACTATATCATTAACTTTATGTACTTTTTCTTGCAGATTGATGACTTTGATATGTTCAAAAAGATAATGCTTACTGATAGAAAGGACCAACCATACAAAAGAGCACTGCTTTTTGTTGATAACTCAGGTGCTGATGTGGTCCTTGGAATGCTTCCTTTAGCTCGGGAGCTTTTACGCCATGGAACAGAGGTATAAATTGAAATGCTGAAAAGCTAAAGAGTTTGCCTTTTTTGTTAGGTTTGCTCCACACTGAATTTAATTAGAAAGAGCAGACAGAATGCTGGCTGCAGAGACTCAATCAAGGGAACACACGATATATTGCATGCTAATGTATAGATCACATTTATTTAACATCCTTGGTGAACGTTGTGATAATTTCTAAAAGATCTTATTTGTGACAACCCAGAACTGATAAAAAAAATGGAGATGATTTTAGCTGTCTGGCTGACCTTGTGAAATAACTGTAGAACTGAAGCAAACCTTCAAGATTATCCCATTTGGTGATTACTTATAGTATATCCAATTGTCATAAATTTTCTATTGATAGATAGATGTTTAATGTGATCAGGTAGTTCTTGTTGCAAATTCGTTGCCAGCTTTGAATGATGTTACTGCTAATGAACTTCCAGAAATTATAGCTGAAGCCTCAAAGGTACAAAGTAAATACAATCCCTTGCCACTTAGCTGTATTATCTATTGTCGTTAGCTCTAAGTTCATATAACTCAAATGATAATGTATCACAGCACTGTGGTATCCTTCGGAAAGCTGCGGAAGCTGGTGGGTTGATAGTTGATGCAATGGCTGGCATCCAAGATGATCTCAAGGATGAGCCAGTGTCAGTGCCACTAATGGTTGTTGAGAATGGATGTGGCAGTCCATGTATTGATTTCCGGCAGGTTAGCTCAGAGCTTGCTGCTGCTGCAAAGGATGCAGATTTGGTAAGGCTGCAGCATTTTTAGCTGTGCATTCTCATGCAAGAATCATTTGCAATGTTCTATTATATTTATAATATTGGTTTGCTTTCCAATATGATGCAGTTAATTTTAGAGGGCATGGGGCGGTCACTGCATACCAACCTGAATGCCCGTTTTAAGTGTGATGCTCTAAAGGTACTTGTTTCTGCAAACCTTACTCATTGGTTGCTACACTGGCAACCTTGATAGTTCTGATTGCAAGAAATTTCCTCATCTTAAAAAAAGGAATCATAGATTTTATATATAAGAAATTTGATGGTTAGATCAGTTTCAGATCATGACTACAATAATATTTTCAGTCATAGGCATTGAACATCAAATATAATTGTAGTCATGACTCATAAGTCACACAGCACAAACAGCAGTATTTTTTTGTCTAGACACTCTGCACAGTCAACTCCGAATTCCAATGATTTTAATTGCCAATGTAGCTTCAGCTGAATCTGGAACTTCCTTACCTTTCTGTCAATTTGTGGAGTCAAAGGGCAGAATCTTTGATAAGATGTCCCACCAAATCATGTATGCCATTTTTAAAAGTTTACAAGTCGAGCTTTTGTGCGCAGCTTGCTATGGTCAAGAATCAGCGATTGGCAGAAAAGCTCTTCAATGGAAATATATACGACTGCATCTGTAAATTTGAACCAGTTTCTTAACAATATGGTAATGCTCACTAATTTTGCCACGGCATTGCTTAAATCTGGTAGTTTTGACAAAGTGAGTATCTTTTCTTCAGTTTTATCACCAGTTTTCAGTTTTATCTTCTTGCAGCAGCTAGCAGAAGCAACTTGATTGGTGCAGCCGGCGAGACAAAGAAACAATCATACTGCATACGGCATTATGGTCCTTCCAATGTACGGGGTACAAGAAACGCCCTTACAATATGCAGCTAGTGTCTGGGATAATAGTGTTGTCTCAAACGATATAATAAAGGCTTTAAAGGCCATTTCCAGAAATATTGAATGGAGAGGTTTGAGCCAGCCAACTGGTGTGTGTGTGTGTCTGTGTACCCGAAAAGCGAGTTAGCAGCCTAGCAGGGCCGAAGTAACATACCCTGGAAAGATATTCAGCCTGTTCGTTTCGTCGTAAATGATCGTGGATTATTTACTGCTGACTGGTTTGGTGTGAGAGAAAAATACTGTTCTAGCTTATAATCCACGATCATGTTCGTATGCCGTGCTCAAATCAATCCAAGATTTGTTCACCTGCCGGGACAATACCGTCACTCAAATGCTAAAATTCAGTTCTTAGTTCTTGCATGGATGTTTTCAATTCTGAGAAAGACTGTCACCAAAATCAGTTATTAGTTCTTGCATGGATGTTTTCAATTCTGAGAAAGACTGTCACCATGTATTTTACTCGGTAGTTAAATTGTACAGTAGAACAGATAACTCAAATCACTAAACGAGACGGTGCACGAGCAACAAGACAGGTAAAACATGAGACGAGAGATTTCTTCAGCATACAGCAGTTGATCCACTAATCAACAAGCCGTTCATCCCTCAAGAAACTAACAGCTCTAGGTAAAGTTGATGTCGTACGCCTTGCCACCGTCCGCTCTGAAGATGCCAAAGTGGCGCTCGAACTCGGGGCCGGGCTTGCCGTCCTCGTCGTACAGGTCGAACAGGAACACCTCCACGGGCACGCCGGGCCGCTTGGGTGTGCCGACGCCGCGCACCGCCCTCTCCACGATCTTGGCGTTGTACGCCGCGGCGTTCTGCGGGGTCGCGGCTGGGTGCCCCGCGGTTGGCCACCCGGTCTCGGTCACCGCGACCGGCACGCCGCCGAACCCCTCCTTCTCCAGCGCGGCCACCAGCGCGTCTACCGTGGCGTCGAACAGGTTGGTGTACACCAGCGCGCCGTCCTGCACGGGCGCCGCGCCCGCGCCGAAGAGCGCGTACGCGAGCTGCACGTTGGCCGGGTCGTTGACGTAGCTGATGAAAGGGTAGGTGTTCACCATGAAGGGCGCGCCGGTGTCGGCCAGGAACTGCAGCATGGGGCGGAGGACGGGGAGGGAGGCCGCGTCGAACACGCCGGCGGAGGGCGGGTACGAGGCGGCGAGCACCGAGGAGGCGTGCGCGGAGGAGACCTTCACCCTGCCGCCGAGCCCCAGCGCGGCGAGCGCGGAGTGCAGGTTCCGCATGGCCGGCACGAGGTGCGGCGCGTAGAACTGGTTGTTGTACAGCACTTCGTTGCCGACGGTGAGGTACCGGACGCGCTCGGCGGGGGCGTGGGCCAGGACCGCGGACCGCAGCCACCGCGCCGAGCCCTCGGGCCCCGACGCGGCGAGGAAGGTGAGGTTCTCGTTGGGCACGCCCACCATGAGGTCGATGCCCGCCGCGGCGAAGGCCGGGAGCACGGCCGGGTCGGGAAGGAAGAGCCGCGCCTTGGTGATCCCGTTCTGCTTGAGCAGCGCCGCCGCGGCCGACGGCGGTGGGAGGTTGCTGCCGACGCGGCCGTGGCAGATGCCGATCTTGCCCGCGTCACCGGCCGCCGCCGCCGCTACCGACGCGACGGCGAGGAGGACGTGGCCCAGAAGACACAGCGCTGTTCGCGTGGCCATTGGCGAGGGAAGGAAGGAAGGGAAAGGGACTAGGAAGGGGATGCCACGCTTTGGGTGTGTTGTGGCCGTTAAATAGAATTTGGCTTTGCCAAGAATAGTAGGGTTCTGGTTGTTTGTAGTTGTGGCGGATCGAGGACGTTAAGGAATAAATAGCGTGGGGTCACTGCTTGGTTCTGATGCAGTGATGCTGTTCGATTGGCTGTTTGGCTCGGCATGGTAGTGGCCGTTGACACATATAGCCGTTGGCTTTTCAAATTATGCTTTTTGTTCTAGCGACTAGCCTCTCTCCAGTCTCCAGTACATTTTTTCTGAAGCAGAAGCAAGGAACGGCCGAACGGTACTGGAGGCTTTTACCTTCCCTTTCGAGCCTGAGTATCCGACATACACGTCCACTGGCACGCGGGGCTGAATTTTGAAATGGCCAGAAAGAACGTCCGCATTGATCAAGCCGTTGGTGTGACTGGAAACTCTCCGTGCGCTTCAGGATGCAATTATGCAATAGATCAGAATGCCCGCACCATGGACGGCTCTCTCTTTGGCGTGGCAACATTCCTTCGCGGAAGAAAAAAAAATTCTATGCAGCTGCGTCGCACGCCGCTCCCGCTGCAACAGCGCGTAGAAGAGCGACGCGTGTCCCGCTGGCCCACCAGTTGAGACGGCCCGCCATCTGCGTGAGTTGAGCCGAGGCCGTCGTCAGGGCAACTCGATCCAAAATCACGTAAAAGCTGCTCCCCTCACCACGGAAATCCTTCAGTGATCCACTAGTTCATCAATGTCTCTCCATCTGCTGGGCGAGGTCCGATGGTGGGGAGTCGTGGCTTGTGTATTGTGGAATCGACCTTAGCCGCAGCCCGCAGGCAACAAGGACGAGAGTCGAGAGGCTTGAGGCAGTGGCTGGTCGTCGAGTTGTGCGTCCGTCGACCGGTGAACATCGTGTTTGTCAAATTACAGGTAAAAAAAAAAAACTGAATGAGCTATGTCTTTTTTTTAAGAGCCATCAATAGGAGTACACCGGCCATATATTAATAGAGAATAAGCAATTACAAAACAAAAAAATAAAATAAAAACTATAACCTCACCAAGGAGGCAACAACACAACCATCGCTGCAAGAAACACAGAAACCACGATCCTCAGAAGCAATAGCTGTCAAACGTCACTCTGAACGCCACCAGCACAAGCGACGTAAACTAGTAGGGGAAATAGGTTTCCACAGCCTCCAAGGAAGGGAACGACGTCCGTAGATGTCGACAAGGCCGAAAGGAGAACCTAGGTTTTTCAACAAAACTACTATAGGGTAGGGGGGGGGGGCTCATGGAGAATGTGCTACCAAAGACATTACCATTGTCGGCCAAAGCCAAGGGCCTTCGCCCGAAACCCCCGACACCCAAGCCCAAACCAGTCATATTGTGGACGACCACAGCCAACCGCCACCGGCAGAAGATAGTTGTGGCACCGGCAAGGTGAAAGGCATGCTTAACTGCCGCCGCCACGCCAGTCCACTAGGGCCGCCTCCCTCCTACATGGTAATAGCCACCGTGAGAAGCCACATCTTGTTCCTGCACCAAGCAAAGAGCGCCACCAACGCCGTTGCACATCGACGCCCCACAAACTTCTATAGAAACCACGAGCATCCCCACACAAGCCACCGTCTTCCGCTGGTTGTCGCGGCGGCAACGAGCCGGCCACAGGCATGCGTGGCCAATTGAATGAGCTATGTCAATGAGTACAGTGGTATGCTCTAAATCCTTGTTACCTTATCGACGTTTCATGTGTCAGATGCTGCTAGAAGTAAGCTGGAAACAAAAGCACCCTACACACCAATTGACAGATTCTTGAAATTGTTAGTTTTATGTGTCAGATTTTGACAGAATGACTGATTTAAGTAGCGTTGTTTGTTTCCCTGCTTCACTGAACAGCAATAACAACAGACTCAAGGGACCTTCAGCATTGGAACCTTCTGTTATTGGCAGGCAAATAATACCGATACTGAGAGATGCAAATGTGTATCGATGTCAGGGTGTTTGGCTGATGAGATATAAACGGACACTTCTGCTCTCTTCGTGGTGTTGTTTCTTGAAGGCACATCTACATGATAAAAATAGAAGAAATTCTCATTGGTGGCTAGAAATAGGATGTTGTATTGTACAGGGATTTTGTATTTTCTTATTTATGTATGGAATTCCTTCCTTCTCTGAGCCGGCGTTCCTATCCCACTATATTGTCGCTATCATAAATAAATATGTGTTGACGTCATTAGAGAGCATGGATCACAAATGAAAGATCACTTGTTGTATGAATTGAAGGCCAAAATAGTTTACCATTTCATATTATTCAGAATCACTGGAACAGTACTATCTTATTGATCAATACAAAATCATCTGGTAAAAGCATTGTGAAAGTAGGTTAGCGAGTTACCCTTCCTAGGTACTCGGCTCCGTGTTATATAGGACCGGGAACAGCCCCGGTGTGGCATATACAACAAAAATCAGTTACAAGAGATATACATCAAGATATCTATCTATGCACCAACTTGAGCTACAAACTAGGAACTAACCTAGAGCCCTACCGAACCAACTCTAAGGAGCCATACAGGATATGCTAACAAACTCTATCATCTAACACCCTCCCTCAATCTCAGCCACTAACAAGGTTGAGATTGTCTCGCCGAAGTTTGATGACAGGAAGAGCTTTAGTGAATCCGTCAGCAACTTGATCCCCAGAGTGAATGAACCGAATCTCTAGTAATTTTTGTGCTACTCCCTCTCTGACAAAATAGAAATCTATCTCAATATGCTTCGTTCTAGCATGAAACACTGGGTTTGCAAAAAGATAAGTAGCGCCTAAATTATCACACCAAAGCTGTGCTTTAGGAGGATGATCAATTCTCAATTCAGTCAACAATTTTTGTACCCATAACATTTTTGCAGTTGCATTTGCTAGCGCCTTATACTCAGCCTCTGTGCTTGATCGTGACTCTGTGGCTTGCTTCTGGGCTGTCCATGAGATCAGATTATCACCAAGGAAAACAACAAAACCACCAGTAGAGCGACGATCGTCAACACAACCCGCCCAATCCGCATCTGAGAAAGCAC